TGTAGATCAGATTAAATTGATATAGGACATGTCACATAATATAAATTATAAAATTAACAAAATATAGTAGATTCTAAACCAGTAAACACACAAGATATGTAATGATTATTAACATCTAGCATGTATCATAATCTAATATATCATAGTTTATCCATACATTCATATATTCAATATTTACTATCCATAGACCGGACCACACAGGTGTAGAACATGACACAAGTAATAAATTATAAAATTAGCAAGGTGCAAGAATTCATAACAAATAAAATCACAAAATATGTAATGACTATCATATCTAGCATATATCAATATGCAGCATAACAGAATTTATCCAAACATTCATTCACTCAAATAAATTATAAATTAGCAAGAGGCAATAAGATCAAAACCAATAAACTCGCAAATATGCAATGAGTATTTACATCAAACATGTAACAATTCCAATAATTCAGAATTATCTAATATTAAACAGAGCAAATCAGTATAAATATTATGTTTCTGGACATTATCGTCCTATCTTTGTTTCAAAACACTACGTTTCGGAGACTGGATCTGTCGTCGTTTTCAGGTAAAACCTAGTTTACTTTAGTTTAGTTTATTGTAAAAATTCCATCGATCCAATCTAGGCTACAAATACGCCTGACGGATATAGAACCAGTCACAGACAAGTAACTAAAATGCACGTACTATAAAAAAAGCCTAGGTCAGATTAAACAATAAACCAAACCTTCCTACTTTAACATTAAACATACCAACATCTTAAATTTAATATTTTAAAAAAATCACAATACCAAAAGGTAAATGATAACATATTTATGCCAAAATAAATCACCTATAATACATAAAATCTTAAAAATTCACATTAAAATTAGTAATTACTATTAAAAAATCATTCAGTGAATAAAAGGAATTCAATAGAAGGTAATTTTTTAGAGTATTTTTAAATTGATTCTTATCGTCAGTCAGTTGTTTTATGCAAGGAGGTAAGTGATTAAATGCCTTTATACCCATATAATAAACACCATTTTTATAAATAGACAACCTTGGTTTTAAAGGGTAAAAATTATTTTTACCTCTGGTGTTGATATCATATAACTCTGAATTTGTTTTAAATAAGGAGATATTAATTACTTAGTAGGATAGGTATCAATAACCACAATCCTATGGGCCTTCATGGCCTGTTACAGGGATAGTTTTACTTATCTCAAAGGCCACGCCATAGCTTATGCGGTTAGTCGCTGACTTCCCACCGCTGCGGTCTAGTCAAGTGGGATTTGTGATAGACAAAGTGGCGCTGGGGCAGGTTTTTCCCGAGTACTTCGGTTTCCCCTGTCAATCCTCATTCCATCAAATTCTCCATAAGCATTATCACCAGTACAGGTACAATAGGACATATGGAAGCTGACCTGCCGAGGGGACCAAATATGGATTCACCTCACACTATATGAAATCTTAACTATTGTAATCTATTGTAAACAATTTTAAGTATTGTAACTTTATTCTCTTATTGTAATTGGCCAATGTATTGTAACTGACTTGTCTTATATCATGTAACAATGATCTATAGAAATGAAATAAATACTTTACTTTTCTTTACTTCACTTTTTACGAAGTACTTTATGCCACTTAGTAGCAAATGTATGAATGACTCAGTAAAAACAACTACAGAGCAAAAAAATGAACCAGTACGCAAATCAAATAAAGACTCCAGAAACTACCAGGAATGAAAAATAAGGATTCTTTATGGTAAATAAAGGTGTTCCAAAAAGAAATATTTCCTCAAACGGAGTAACCAAAAAAGAAAACTATATCAAATTCTTAAATATTTTCTATCAGAACATTAGTGGTTTAAGGGGGAAAGTAAATCAGCTATTAAGTCATCTACACCCAGCCTCCCCACACATATTATGTTTTACAGAACATTACATGAATTTCTTGGAATTACAACAGTTAAACATAGATTCTTATAAACTAGGAGCAAACTATTGTAGAACCTTGCATGAAAAAGGAGGAGTATGTATGTATCTACGCACAAACTTTAAATTTTTAAACATAGTCCTAAAAAAATATTGTAAAGAAAAAGATTTTGAGGTATGTGCTGTTAAGTTAAACCTGAGCTCCAACAGACTTTGTATAATTACAATATATAGAGCTCCGACTGGAAACATTGATACATTCATAACAAAACTAGATGCAATAATTAGAAGTCTATATACCTCAACACAAGAATATATTATTTGTGGGGATATTGATAAGGATTACTTTCTTGATTGTGAAAAGAAAAACAAATTAGATACCTTATTGAGAAATTATAATTTAATAAGTACAATAAATTTTCTGACCAGAGTTCAAGGAAATTCTGCTACAGCCATTGATAATATTTTCATCGATATTACTAGAAGGGAAAATTATTCTGTAAGGCCTATAATAAATGGATTGTCTGATCATGAGGCACAATCCATAACATTTAAAACAATAAACATGAGAACACATGCTAAACCATTTAAGATAATAAGGAAAATAAACAAACAGACAATAAATTACTTCTTAATTAAACTAAGTTATGAAACATGGACTCAACATTTTCTAGTGATGATGTTAATATAATGTTTAACTCCTTTTTAGACACTTACTTGTAAATGTACTCTTCCAGTTTTCCAAAAAAAAAGATTTTTTTTTTTTTCCAAATAAAATAAGTGATTGGATTACTGTAGGAATAATGTCCTGTAAACGTGAAAGAGTACTCTATATGGCATGTAGAAACAGTAATAATTCAGAATTAAGAAACTATTATAAAAATACTATAAAATTTTATCTAAGGTCATTAAGGAAGCTAAGAAACTAAAATATGATAACAAAATTCCAAATTCCAAACATAAAAACAAAACCATATGGGATATAGTAAAATTAGAAACTAATAAGGGGCAAAATAATGAAAAAATATGCACATTAAAGGTGGATGGAAAATGGATTAGAGAAAAGCAAGTAATTGCAGAAACTTCTAACAATTACTTTTTAGCTGTAGCTGAAAATAAAAATGCAAAAAATAGACAAAATAATACTAATATTGAAGAAAGCAGTCTTCTGGGATTTGGCACTGTGTATAAGTGGTCCAGAAGACTCCTTTCTTCATAGTCACCGCCCTGAAAGCCTCAAATCTTAAATACTAATATTAGTTACCTCCCAGACACTAATCCCATTCAGTATTTAATGACAACTTTTATAAATCCCTTTCCACATATTAAACTTAAAACTTTATCAACTAAGGAAGTTGAAAATATAATTAAATCTCTCAAAGCAAAAAACTCTTATGGATATGATGAAATATCCACTAAAGTATTAAGATTGAGTTCCCTCTCATTAGCTCTCCTTTGACTTGCATATGCAACAATTCATTATCACAAGGAATTTTTCCAGATCATTTGAAATGATCAGAAATATGACCACTGTTTAAAAAAGGGTGAAAAAACAAATATTTCCAACTATAGGCCTAATATCACTTTTAACTTCGTTCTCTAAGTTATTAGAAATGCTATGAGCATTCAGTTGACTGAGCACTTAAATAACAATAACATTTTCGTGGAAGAGCAATTTGGTTTTAGAACAAAATCTTCAACAGCTGAGGCAATATACAAGTTGGTGAATGAAATCTACAATACATTAAACAGCAAAGACTTAATAGGAGGCATTTTTGTGACCTAGAAAACGCCTTCTATTGTGTTAATCATGAGGTTCTGTTGTCGAAATTGGAGTTCTATGGGATAAAGGGTAAAGCTAAACTATGGCTTGAATCTTATTTCAGAAATAGATATTAAAGGCTTTTAATTACAAATATAAATCTTAATCTCAATCTCATTGAATTTTCGACATGGGGCAAAATTAGACATGGTATCCCGCAAGGTTTGATTCTGGGTCCATTGTTATTTCTCATTTATATAAACTATTTACCCAAAACTATAAATTATAAAACTGTACCTATATTATTTGCAGATAACACTAGTTTGTTAGTTAAAAGTTCAAACTAAGATGATCTCTGTGTTAATATAAACAATGCTTTTCATAATATAAATGAATGGTTCAAAGTAAACCAACTTTCTATAAATTTTAACAAAAGCCACTACATTCAATTTACAGCTAGAAATAAAAATCCTAAATCTGAAATAAAAATTGTATATGATAAAAAAAAAACAAATTACATCTATATCCACTATTAAATTTCTTCGAATTATCACTGATGACACAATGAGCTGGAAATACCACATTGAGTATATTAGTTCCAAACTAAGTGCAGTCTGCTACATAATAAGATCGCTTAAACCATACACGTCCATAAATACCTTAAAAATGGTTTATCACTCTTATTTTAATTCTGTTATAAATTATGGTTTACCCTTTTTGGGTAACTCACCCCAAAGTATAACAATTTTTAGAATGCAAAAGAATATAATTAGAATTATGTTGGGATGCAGAAGGAGGGATTCGTGCAGGAACTTATTTAGAGAAATAGAAATCTTACCTCTGGCATCTCAGTACATACTATCTCTTATGCTCTTTGTGATAAAAAACATAAACAAATTCATAGTAAATTCAGAGATTCATAGAAATCCCAGACAGCAAAATAATCTCCATTAGCCTCATGTAAATTTCAATAAAATACCAAAAGGGAGTTTACTGTTTAGGAACAAAGGTCTATAATAATCTACCACAACATATTAAGTATATATCGACCCCTGCAGTACAAGATATCATGTTGCAGAATTAATTGTTGTTATTCTTGTGACCTTGTGTTTGCTTTGAAATGTGGGAGCAGGACCTGCAGGTAGGTGGTATGTTTGGATACCTTCTTACCGATCGTACTCTCGCCGCTGGTAGTGGTCATTTTGTATTCATTGATTTCAATATGCGTAGAGATGGCAGTCGTAATGCGTCCGTGTCGCCAATGTGGTTATATTCCCTGCCATTGAAATGCGTCGTGATGTACCGTGCTCTACTCAGCTGTCAAGAAGGTCAAGAACGTCAAAAAAAAAAAAAAAAAAGTGCTGCACGGTAGAATGTTCTTTTAGCATGTTTAGGATTGCCACGTCAGTTTTTGCTAATCATATTGTACGTTTGGGACATTGGTTTAGATGACTTATTTTTTGACACAACAGTTGTGATGTCATAACAGGTGTAATGTAATGTATGTTATAGAAAATCAGGAAGTCTTTGATATAATGTGCGTAATTTGTACAGAAGTGTTGGATAAATTTTAGTTATTTGAAGTTCGTGGAATATTTCCGGTATGGACTCCCATTAAACATGCGATTTCATGAAACTGCTAGTAATAAGTATTGTAAGATGTGGTTGAATCTGGACTATCCGTGTTTACATAGAATATCAAATATTTTTGCCCTCGTAAGTTTTCAACATGACCAGTGAATTGTTAGGAGGTTAATGTCTGTCAGCGAAGTTGTGATGTAGAAGTATGGTGTCGGCATTTAATATACTGTGAAGAATGCCACATTATAAGATGTTGGCGAAAACTTCCCGTATAGTTTCCCTTTGTTCCGTAGCAAACTTTATTAATGCAGCAGATCGTGTGATCATGCCAATAGCAATTGTGCCTATGACAGATGAATTCAAATGGAGCTTACACTGGCAAGGATGGATCTTATCAGCGTTTGCATTTGGTTACTTCACAAGTCAGGTAAGTCTGAAAACAAAGAATAAGGACTAATTTCAAATTGGTAGTGTCATGTACAGCATTTTCATATTCTAGTAGCCACATTGATATAGGTTATTACTTTCTTTTAAAGATGTTTTCTCACATGTGGCTCTAGATGATAAGAATTTCATAATTCATAATTTATTTACACCCATAACCTGCTACATAAGTACAACTGGACAAGTCAGTTTAGACCATCTGAAACACTACAACGCAACAACTCTTAAAAATGTATAAAATGATGCAGAAGACTAAGAACAATACAGTCATCTTAGGATCATTGTCCCCCTTCTGAAGCTAGCAACTGCGGATAAGAACCCCCAACAATCCAATATAAAGCAACACATACGCTTAGACCATCTACAATGTATATACATCCACACCACATCAGAAGCAACACGAGTCACCAAAGTTCCGTCCATCATTGGTACTAAAAAGACTTCTGCAGAGAATAAAAACCGTTTTGTAATAAATAACTTTTTCATCTGTTTTGAAAAACTTTAAAATTTTCTATTCTTTTTAATTCAAGGGGAAAATTTTTAGGTATTTCAATTCTTTTTTAAAAAGCATAAGATCTTATGTACAGCGGTTCGTTGAGGGGCTATTCTACAAGCCGGAAGGTCGCGGGTTTAAGTTCTGATGAGGTCATTGGATTTTTTTCAATTGACCTAATCCTTCCAGCTGCACTAGGCCCTGGGGTTTACTCAGCCTCTAACAGAAATGAGTACCAGGAATGAATTAAATAATTTTCCTGGAGTGTAAAGCGCGGACATCGCATAAGGCTGACAACCTTACCGCCATCTTAGAGCCGATTGTCTAGATCAAGGGTCTCCAAACTACGGCCCGCAAAAGAATTGTGGAGAGATGCACCAATTGAACTAATTTTCCAATGAATACTGGTAAAAAAAATACTTGTTCATAGATTTCAAATTCATTAATTAAGATTGTGTTTGAAATATATTGATATTCCATATTATGTTAATGTTAATATTATTCATAACCACTTTTATCAGATACCGAGTGGCTTTGGAAATTAGCATTTTTTGCTGATCTGGTGAACCATATGAACAATTTGGATTTAAAGTTGCAGGGTGAAAATAACTTAGTCTGTAATTTATTTGCACTTATGAAGGCATTCAGAGCAAAGTTGATACTTCTGGAAAGCCAAGTGAAAAATTGTAACTTTGTTCATATGCTATACTGTGCAGAGCTGCATAAAAAGGGTGAAGCTCAATTTCCTTCCTCGTTTGCAAATTTAGTCATTTCAGATTTGAAAGAACAATTTCGGAAGCGATTTGCTGATTTGGATGCCAGTGCTCAGGACATTAAATTGTTTCAAAATCTGTTTGACTGTGATGCTGCAGATGTCCCAAGTCAAATTCAAATGGAAATTATTGAACTTCAGGAAAATTATCATATTAAAGACAAATACAAGGAAGGAAGTTTTATTGAATTTTATAAATTTCTGAACTCTGAGCAATTTCCAAATTTAAATAAATTTGCTTGTAACTCTATCTCCATTTTTGGGATGACATATCTGTGTGAACAAACTTTTTCCCAGATGAAGTACATCAAGTCGAAAGACAGGGCAAATTTATCCAATGAACATTTAAAGTCGCTATTTGTGATTAGCGTTTCAAAATTTGAACCTCAATTTAATCAGATTTTAAGAATGCAAAAAGAGTACCATCATTCACATTAATTGTTTTATTATAATTTGTGATGAAAATATGAGCATTTGCTGCTACTGTCTGTTGTCATTAATATACGATAATTTATTCCCATGTTCTTTGTATTTAGTTTATGAAATTCTGTGCTTTCAATAAAACTCATATACCTGGAGTTATTAATTTCTCATTTTATCTGGCCCGTTGAAAGTGCTGAATTACCTAATGTGGCCCGCGTTTCGAAAAGTTTGGAGACCCCTGGTCTAGATAGTGTGGGACCCTCAACGTTTCACAACCCTATGGACCTTCATGGCCTGGTACAGGTATAGCTGATAGTGGGCTGAAAAGCCCACTATCTCTTTCGTGAAAATTCTGGTCCTGCACCTGGTGTTGCGGAACTCGAAACTGCCCGTGACAATTCCTTTGACTTTCCTCTGCAACTGCATCAGGTTGGTCATAGAGGTTAACACAGTGGGAGGCAGACTACCTGCCTTGTTGCATGATGGCTGCTGCTGTACATTTTCTGGGTCATTGGCTGTCTCCTCCACAACGTCCATTCCTGATGTCCTAGGGGCATGAAGAAGTTTTTTTTATTGGTACCTCACCTTGGGATCATATCCTAGGGTCCCTCGCTCCAGGTGTCGGTTTTGGTCTTTTTGCCTGTTCTTCTGAGGAGTTTTGCTTGCGTCTCCTTTGTTCACGAAATTTCTCAGGTGATACCATTTGTTCTGGGAGCAGTGATTCTCGCATTTCCCTTTGTATGGCAGCAGCCCTTGGCTGTAAATGTGCCTTTCCATCAAGGTGCTTACAAAGCACTGTCCTCTCGGTCTCTGATTTGGTGATTAATTCCTTCCATACTGCGCCGTTTCCATTAACAGAGGGCAATGTATAGATTAGCTGCTCTATTGTGCATAGGCCATTAAGGAGTAGTTCTGTTTCTTCCTGGCAGTCAGTATTCCTTGCTGTTAAGTCGTCGTTCTTCTCAAAGGACGCCATGATTGCCTTCCAGCATTTTTCACACACTGTCGGCTCAGTTGTTTTGCCTGCTTACCAGTCTGTATGCATACGGAACTGCCCTACCACTGACACACCAGCCGCACCAGTTTTGCATTATAGTTTATAGTTTCAATTCAACAAGACCGAAAATATTCAATTCTATCCTAGAAAGGAACGCACACACCAGTGAGCAAGAGACTCAGTCTTAGTCACTGTCAAACTCGATCACAGAGCATGAAGTCACTAAAACCTGAACACACACTCAATCCTCATGCACCGACTACCAACCCAATGAACTTACACTGTCATGATCAGATCCCACTGAATGATCACCTGATGTCTCTAGCCCTCCTGATCACGATAAGCCAGTTGGAGGCCTGTATATTTATACCATTGCCACTGGGTGGAGCTGCGATTATGATTGTCTCCAGAGGGCTGGACTACCAGCGATGTATAAATATTGCCTTGTCCTGTTACAAGGTGGGAGTTGTTTGTTAGACTGGTGAAATTGTGTGTTAGACTGTGAGAGGATCCCACAGAGTCATATCCTGGTGTCAAGGTTATGTTCTTGAAATTTGCATCTCTTCAACTTCAGAGCTGTGTATGAGCTCAAAGAATTGGAAGTCTCAGTGTCTCTGTGTATGTAGCCCGTCAGAATGTCAGATCGTTGTTTGAAGGATTCAGCTGGCCAAATTTATGTCAGAATACTTGACCATCTACATATGCCATCACTGCTTGACAGTGTTGGCATGCAGTCCTTCTAAGAAGTGTTATTTCGTGAGTCAGATAAATTGCAAAATGTTTTGAAATTACGCTGAAGAAAATGGTACTGAACATGCTTCTTCAAAGTGTGCTCGCTCCGCTTTGTTGAGTGACACTTTCTTCTCTAACCTCCCTTCACTCACCTTCGCTCCCCCTTTGTTGGTTGGTTGGTCACACGTTGCTCGTCGCTCCTCTCCTTCTTTCTTCTTCTTCTTAGGCTGGGTGCCAGTAAGCTCAGCTGGTATCAGCTTACAATAGTTGTAGGTTTATTTTGGAAAGGGGGTGAAGGTGATAGTCATTCAGCTGTGGATAAAGCTGAGATCTTTCTCAAAGCGTTTGATATGGCCTCGCATAGGATGGGGGGGAGTAGTTGGTTCAAGGGTACTTTGCACTTAAACACCATGATCATTTATTGATACCAACACTCACCTTCACCTGATGACACACACAGTCAATATAAAGGATGCTTGTATATAGGTCCTTATGTAGCGCAGTCCTGGTATAACGGATGTTATTAGCACAATTTACACTTTAGCACTTTGAATTTGGGTTTGTTCAGAACAGTGGAGACACGGATTTTGTTTCTAAATCATTCACGAGTTAGCAGGCCACTCACTTAGTGACTGACTACTCTGAAACCACTGAGGTCCCCTGGACATCAGTTCCTCAGCTAAGTCATTCCCCCTTAATTCCACTGATTGGGTAATTTTGAAAACCTTTAGTTCACACAATTTCTGGTTCTCCAGTCAACTAGCTGTAGTCTGGGACTTTGAACCTTAAAGTCCTAATGTCGTTTTTGACAGCACACTGACGGATAGCCTGCTTGGCGTGGGTTTCAAAAACTCCTTCTTTTAAGTTACGATATGCAGGACCTGTCCGTGCTTGAATTCTCAAAGTTTCCCATCGTGCTACTCGCAAACAAAATTTCTAAGGAAAAGCCACAGTGCTTCCTGTGTAACAGTAAGATTTGAAATAAGTCCAATCCTGCAAACAAGAAGGTGACCATGTCCCACTGGCTTGGTTATTGTTATCTGCAATTGATTTTTGTTACTGATGATTCTAATTATACTTAAACTAGTGAGGGACAATGGAGCGGTTACACAAGCGGCAGATATCTGTAAATAGATAGCTTGAGACCTTTGTGAAACAAAGTGAAGAGTTTTCAGAAATGTTATTATAATGTTGGTTATAGTACAACTGCTCACGTTTGTTACTTTTAAAGAAACATGTTTTAATGAATGAAATCTGACAAGTTGGTGTAGTCATTGTGGTTTGTGATTTTGCTGAAAATTGTTATTTGACATTACAAGTGGAGGCATAGGGATTGCATTGGAATAAGGCCCAAGCAGCTCTTCATTCTTTGTGATTTATTTCTGAGAACCATGTCTAGACTAATTGAGACACACCATTTTAATAATTATTTCTGTTTGCCTTACGCATAACACTACTGCTGTTCACTGCTTTCAGAAATATATAATTAATTTTTGTCAGAACAAGTTTGTATCTTATTTCTCAGATGGGTCAATACAACAATGTAAGAACAGGAACATCCCCTTAAATTTGACACTATAGGAAGAAGATTTTCGGTTTCCAGCTGAATGGCATTTCGGTGCTACTTCACATGCCAAGGGTACATGTAACATCCAAGGGTGAACCATAAAGAGACTGGCAGCAACACTATACTGATCAAATCATGTATTTGAGATAAATGTTCAATTGGGCGCAAACCAACTTATACGAAACATGAACTTCTGTTTATTACTAAACCTTATTTCATAGAAGGATAAAGAAGCTTTTATTTAAGAGAAATCGAGCAATTAAACCAGTACATGGAGCTTTGAACTTTCTACTTTTCTGTCCGTAAGGATAGGTACATTATGCATGAAGGAATTTACAACTTCAGCAGTGTGTGAAGAATGCTGTATATCAGAGCTGCAAGAAAGCATGATGATTGAGATGTTAAAGATGTTGTTGCATATGTATGACAAAGTGTGGTGGTTATATTGCTTTATGAAAGTGAATGAGAGCTCATCATAAAGGATAGTCAGTTTTCTTCATCCTAATAGTCCATAGTCATCCTTCATTCATCCTCAGCAGTGACGCATATGGAGCATTTCTTTATCAAGAGATATGATTAAATGTAGGTCCAAGAACAGCCACAGGATGAACATAAAATCTAACATTTGTCTAAACTCAGTTAACAGTTGAAAAGTTAAAGCACAAAGTTGTACAATTTTGCAATGGTGGTATATTAATACAATGATCAAGTTTCTGAACTTTGTCCATAATCCTAAATTTTATTTGGGATGGCATTTCAGAGACTGCAATTTCCATCTTCAGAAAAACAATCTACTATGCTGGGCTGGAGACAGAGACCAGGCTCAACAGATTTGACCCAACATTGTACTTTCTTTGCCTGAGTATGGAACTGGAGTCCAGTCTCCAAAGTATCATCCCATATAACTTTAGAAAATTTATCATTGTACAAGAAAAATACTAATTATCGTGTATATGTGTGTAAATAATTGACAGTATTACTGCCATGTTTCTTGATGTAACTGCTGCATTGTAGGGCTTGTTTTGTGAAGGCTGTATTAAATAACATCCCAGAATTATGCATATTAATTTTTATGTTGTATATTAGTCTCCAACATTGTTTACCAAGAGTCTTTAAAATTTCTGTATGGCAATGTAGACTGGCACAAATAACCTTGATTTTGAGGCACCTCTCATGCTGCTGGTGGTGGTGGTGCCTCATCCACGTCTGCTGCCGCCACCACCTCTGCCTCCGCCGTTGTAGTCTTATACCTAATAGTCACATGACAGTCCCAACTTTTAGTTCAATTATATGACAGTGTCCATAAAATATTCCTATTTTTTACTTAAAGAATAAACAAAGTCAAAGATGAAATAGGATGATATTGAATCACAAAACGTAATTTGTAATACCCTGCAGGAAAATGTTATTCATATTTATTTAAATGAAAATAAATTAAACTTTGTATCTCATAATTTATCCTACATTGAGACAAGAGAGAAGTAAAGCATGTACATAACCCTCTGGGTGGAATAATGCAAAGTATCTCTTTGTGGCAACTGCAGAGGTGTGCTTTTTTGCATGGATTTAAAGTTTTTGATTGTTGCACATTACCCAGTGTCAGATAATGCTTATGATGATGTAAATTTAACATTATACTTGTGACGAAAATTCTGCACTTGTCTGACAGTTAACAGCTGTTAGATTGCATAGCATAATATATTATTTTCACCTTTATTTAAATGTCCTTTAGTGGCATATTGAAATACAGCAACTTTTTATGTAGTGTGTAAGAAATAGTGAACTGCTAAAAATATACATAATTCCATGTTTACTGAAATTCATGCTTTCGTTTGATTTTGATGGTGATATGTGATCAAACTTACATTGTGTATAAAAACTTGTGAAATTTGTTTTTTGTGTGTTACAGGTGATAGGAGCATGTGCTGCCAGCAGATTTGGAGGAAAAGCAGTTCTCTTATTTGCTGTGTTTTTATGGTCTGTTTCAACTTCTGTCACCCCTCTTTTGGCAACATCTGTGCCTGCATTGATATTTTGCCGAGTGCTGTTGGGATTGGGTGAGGGACTTGGTAGGTTGACAGCACTGTCTATGAAATATACGTGGTGTGTTCAAAAGTATCGAACCTTTGGTTGGCAGAAATACATTTATTGATTTGGAGGTACAAAACCCTAATCCCCTTCAAAGTAGTCTCCTTGGTAATGCACACACTTCTCCCAGCGCTTCTGCCATTGTTGGAAACACATCTGGAACGCGTCTTTTGGAATGGTGATCAGCTGGGCCGTCGCATTCCGCATGATGTCTTCTCTTGACTCAAATCGGGTTCCTTTCAGTGGCATTTTCAGCTTGGGAAATAACCGAAAGTCACACGAAGCCATGTCGGGGGAGTAGGGAGCCTGACGAACCACAAGGATGTTGTGTTTGGCGACGAAAGTCTGAATCAGATGCGCAGAATGGGCGGGTGCGTTATCATGATGGAGCTGCCAAGTTTTTGCTGCCCACAGATCCGGTCATTTGCGCCGCACAGCATCATGAAGGTGACGAAGGACCTCCTGCTAGTATTTCTTTGTGATAGTTTGGCCTTGTAGTGCGTACTCATGATGCACAATCCCACGGGAGTCGAAGAAAACAGCCAACATGACCTTGACATTGCTGCGGACCTTCCATGCTTTTTTTGGCTTTGGGGATGTTGGATGTTTCCCCTGTGATGACTGCATCTTGGTTTCCGGGTCATATCCATAAACCCACAACTCATCGCCTGTGATCAGGGTGTTCAGAAAGTTGGGGTTACTGTTTGCATTGTCCATCATGTCCTGTGTGATTTTCAGATGGCGTTGCTTCTGCTCCATTGTTAGCAGTTTCGGTACAGATTTCGCGGACACTCTCTTCATGCCCAAATCCTGGGGTCAAAATTGAATGTACCGATCCAGTGCTTACCCCTGTCTCGTTGGCAAGTTCTTGGACTGTGATATGGCGGTCCTCCATGACCAAAGTCCGCACTTGCTCAATGACATTCTCATTTCGGCTTGTTGAGGGTCTGCCTGAACGCGGTTCTCTGTCCACTGATGTGCAGCCATCCTTGAAGGGGTTGTACCACTCCTTTATCCGTGAGTTGCTCATGGCATCGTCCCCGAAAGCCTGTTGAATCTTGCGAATGGTTTCCACTTGGGTATCGCCAAGCTTTTGGCAAAATTTGATGCAATATCGCTGCTCATGTTGTTCCGTCATTTTACACCTTACTGGAATCCGACGAGCGCTCACTACACGTCCTCACTCATAGGCTGACTGCCAGTGACTGACACTTTCTGCGGGCGGGAAGAAATTCACGACTGCACATGAATGTCCCCTCCACATCTCCACCGAAGGGAGCCTCCTGTGCTTCATTGGTTTACGCGGGAAAAAAGGTTTGATACTTTTTGAACACACCACGTATATGAAAACTCTGAATTACTGGGTTAAGCATAACTCATTATCATATTGTTATAGTATTTTATTGTAAGATGTTCTGCTTTCTGGGTAGTATAATCATCATTTATGAGTAGAGATAAGAGAAGAAATGATCTGAATTATTCTACTAATAATATTATGTAGTTTTATATTTGGTTTACTAATGTGAATGTCATATGACCCTCTCTAATACATGCAGATAACAGAAATATTTCACATTGTTTAATTCTGATATTTCAGTATTTTTGTTTATGTTTGTTTAAAAGTAAAATGAAAATCAGTGTGTTCATATGAAGCAAGAAGTAAGCCTCGGGGAATTCACGCTATATGTAAAACATAGTGTACTGTCCAACGGTTTTGAGTATTCACATTGACCTGCACAACCCGGACCATCACAGTCAGTTGTATTCAACAGCACATGCCTATTTCTCCCTGAATCCCTCTCTGTCCATATTTATTAAACAGTATGCATTCAGTTTCACACCTCTTAGAATTCCTTGTTAGCCATAATGATTAAACAATACTGATAGTAATTTAGCTCTCATATCAGTTCTATTAGAAAAAGACACCATGAAAGAAACCAAGTGTAGGGATACTGGATTAACAGTTTCTTTACTTGAAAGAGAAATTTAAGGTGAATATTTTACTCTGAATGAATAATGAGTGGATGATGAGACTGAACTTTAATGCTGCTTCTGAAAGACAAAATATCCATTCAACATTTAGTTGATGGAAATTCTAGATGTTCTGACTAGACAGAATACTTCAACTAGGGAAGCATTAAGACCAGTAAGAAATGTAGCAGTTAGCATAAAGCAAGGTTATTAAATAAATTTCTACATTTCATTTCAGATATCAGTTATACAGTTCTTTGTGATCAGGGTGTAACATCCCAGAAGATTGAAATCTCACACATATTCAGTTGTATGTTATATTGGATTTTACATTGTGCTGTTAGAAACAAAAATAAAATGATGCAAGTAATATTAGTCTGCATCCATGGTCCTTGACTTAAAGAAAAACCATGCAGTGAATATATTCATTATAACAAAAGTCTGTGAACCCAAATAGTTGAACAGCATCCAAAATGTCCAATAAATGAAATAACAGTAAAATTCTTTGAAGTACAGTGCTTATTGTGATTAATTTAATGTTGGTTTTTTATTTAACTGCAGAGATTATGTACTCATAGCTTTGTAGATACAATGGTGATACTGTTGCTGCATATTGTCTAAACAAAGTCAGGTGAAGTGGTGGTATTGAGTAATTATTACTTTTATTTCTGCAGGAAATGTTTCCTTCGGTATAGTGCTTACAAAGTTTTAGTGAGACAGTGTAACTGTTGATTGCAGGATGGAATTTTTATTCTTTTACATTAGGTCTACCAACAATATTCCATATATTTGCTCATAATGTACCAATGGAAGAGCGATCGAGAGCATTTGGCTATCTTGTTGCTGCAGGTTCTGTGGGACAGACTGTTGCATCTGTGGTGAGTCATTTATAAATATATATATAGTATATTACTTATTACAAACACAAAGTTACTTGCGATTCATAGTAACACAAAATGTAGCAGTTTGTTTTTAAACATATTGTCGCATGTATGGAGTGTGACTATAGACAGGGTATGGATTTGTAACTGGATTTATTGAACACTTACGCACAAATCATAACTACAAGTAACTGTAGTGCTATTGTTAATTCACACTCTGCAGTTCACTACAGTCCACACTTACGGCTTTTCAGCTTGCTGTGTCTTTACCAATTTTCTGCCAACCACATGATATGGTGGATGTACCCCTTCCTTTGTGTTTTTGAACTGTCCCTGTGCCTCAGCTACCAGCTTGAAACAGCAACAGCTCACAAGGACTGAACCGCAGCAGTCCTCGTAACTCACTCATTCACCAACCAACTCACTCCAGTCCACTCCACTAGCTCCCAGGCTGGCAGTCATCTCACACTAACCACATACCCTTCTCACTGCTGTCTCATTACTCTCTTATAATGGCAGCTGGCCCTTGTTATATAGCCTCAGCATGGACTGCACAGAGAACACCTCTTGTGCTGTTGTGTGAGTCTGTTCCACCCATTGTCTAGCAAGGGCCTTTGTTTACAGGACCATTCCTTAGCAATGGCTGTTGTATAGCTGCTTATATTGTAGTATTGCCTAGCAGCAGGTATACATGCCACAGCCAAAACCATGTATGAATTCCTCTTTTGGCACATGCTGCATGCCCCACCAATCCCATCCTCCTTGACTTGGATCATTCTAATTGTATTTGGCAAGTATTACAAGTTATGAAGCTCCTCTTCTCTTAACTTTTTCCACTTTCCTATTAATTAAACTTGGTTCCAGATATTTTCAGCACCCTGTTCTCAAACACCCATACTTGGTATTTTTCCCTTAATGTTGGAAACTTAGTTCCACACCCATACAAAACTGCATGCAGAATTATAGTTTTGTGTTTTTTACGCTAGACATTTCAGTTGTAATGCTTTATATTGTTACTGGAGTAAGAGAAACTATCAAATGTAATGTATAGTAATCAAAAGCTTTATTTATTGGATAAAATGTGCCTTACATATTTCAGCCCTATAGGACTGTCAGAGGCTTACATGTTAAAGAAGAGACCGCTGAATATACATTATTTTCTACCATTAACATTTATATTTAAATCCCTTTGTAACTGAGAATGTAGAGATTTCTTACTTAATGCATAAATTTACCAATGGGCTGCATAATTTAGTAGATATTTTAGTTTCTGTTGGTTTCACTGTTTTCTATGTAGATTTTGTGGAGATCTTTTCACATTTCACATTTATTCTTTAAATTCAATAAATTTTTTTTGGTGAAACCTAGGATGTTGAACAAGTCACAATGAAATCAAAACATACACAAGAACAGTTCATAAAATAGAACTAAGTCACATACAGAACAATCATAAAATGAAATTATACATAGTGATAATCAAAACACAAAAAGTGGAAATTGTTCAAGTTAAAATCGATTAAATTACAACTCATAAAAACTTATGCAACACCATAACATATGCATTTTACAAGATTCAAATATACACAACATACGCAGGAACAGTTCATAAAATAGAACTCAGTCACCTACAGAGCAGTCATAAAACAAAATTATACATAGTAATAATCTGTGGGGTTTCTGTTTTGTCGTTACTTCAATGACAACCCACTTCTTCGGAACAGTTTGTAGGTCCTGAAAAGAACCACTGGTTGCTGAGATGCTTGACCAGTGAAGTAGTGCGGCGTACGCCGCTAGGAAGGGATGTTGGTTGCGGTGTGTTGAGGCGGCTGAGTCAGTTGACTGGCCACAGTGCGGCCGTTGCTTGGTTTTTGGAGAACGTTCGCTTGCTGAGCGCGGTCACAGGAGTGGAGAGGCGGTAGCTACGCCAGTTGCCCAGTGTGTCGGGCATGACTACCGGCAAATCGAGGCCGCCAAGTTGGCCAGTGAGTCGGGTGTGACCACCGGATAGCCGAGGCAGTCATGCCTGGCGCAGCGAAGTGCCGATGCCTCAGAAGACCGAGCGCTGGCGACGAAGTGTGCTGTTTGTAGACTGCTTGAAGACTGCTGTGGAACTGACGACTGATGCTGTCAGGTTGGAGCTGCTCCTTTTTATACCCAGCTCGGTAGGCAGAGCGAAACTTGCATTTGGGGAGCAACAATTTGCAGAGCGCTGATTGGCTAGCGAAAATGAGGAGCAGAAATTTGCAGTGCGTGCTTGTGTAAATATGAATGAAACGTCCGGCAATGCGATATTCGCTAAGGAGTGAGTGTTGTCTAAAAGACCAGTGGACACAGCGTGCTATGTGGGATGTCCCCACAAATCAAACCACAAAAAAGTGGATTTTGTTCAAGTTAAAACTGATTAAATTACAACCTATAAAAGCTTACACAACACAACCATAACATATACATTTCACAAGATTTCAATATTAAAATATACTAAAAGTTAAATTAATGAAAACAAATATAAAATATCTTAATTATNCCACATACCCTTCTCACTGCTGTCTCATTACTCTCTTATAATGGCAGCTGGCCCTTGTTATATAGCCTCAGCATGGACTGCACAGAGAACACCTCTTGTGCTGTTGTGTGAGTCTGTTCCACCCATTGTCTAGCAAGGGCCTTTGTTTACAGGACCATTCCTTAGCAATGGCTGTTGTATAGCTGCTTATATTGTAGTATTGCCTAGCAGCAGGTATACATGCCACAGCCAAAACCATGTATGAATTCCTCTTTTGGCACATGCTGCATGCCCCACCAATCCCATCCTCCTTGACTTGGATCATTCTAATTGTATTTGGCAAGTATTACAAGTTATGAAGCTCCTCTTCTCTTAACTTTTTCCACTTTCCTATTAATTAAACTTGGTTCCAGATATTTTCAGCACCCTGTTCTCAAACACCCATACTTGGTATTTTTCCCTTAATGTTGGAAACTTAGTTCCACACCCATACAAAACTGCATGCAGAATTATAGTTTTGTGTTTTTTACGCTAGACATTTCAGTTGTAATGCTTTATATTGTTACTGGAGTAAGAGAAACTATCAAATGTAATGTATAGTAATCAAAAGCTTTATTTATTGGATAAAATGTGCCTTACATATTTCAGCCCTATAGGACTGTCAGAGGCTTACATGTTAAAGAAGAGACCGCTGAATATACATTATTTTCTACCATTAACATTTATATTTAAATCCCTTTGTAACTGAGAATGTAGAGATTTCTTACTTAATGCATAAATTTACCAATGGGCTGCATAATTTAGTAGATATTTTAGTTTCTGTTGGTTTCACTGTTTTCTATGTAGATTTTGTGGAGATCTTTTCACATTTCACATTTATTCTTTAAATTCAATAAATCTTTTTTGGTGAAACCTAGGATGTTGAACAAGTCACAATGAAATCAAAACATACACAAGAACAGTTCATAAAATAGAACTAAGTCACATACAGAACAATCATAAAATGAAATTATACATAGTGATAATCAAAACACAAAAAGTGGAAATTGTTCAAGTTAAAATCGATTAAATTACAACTCATAAAAACTTATGCAACACCATAACATATGCATTTTACAAGATTCAAATATACACAACATACGCAGGAACAGTTCATAAAATAGAACTCAGTCACCTACAGAGCAGTCATAAAACAAAATTATACATAGTAATAATCTGTGGGGTTTCTGTTTTGTCGTTACTTCAATGACAACCCACTTCTTCGGAACAGTTTGTAGGTCCTGAAAAGAACCACTGGTTGCTGAGATGCTTGACCAGTGAAGTAGTGCGGCGTACGCCGCTAGGAAGGGATGTTGGTTGCGGTGTGTTGAGGCGGCTGAGTCAGTTGACTGGCCACAGTGCGGCCGTTGCTTGGTTTTTGGAGAACGTTCGCTTGCTGAGCGCGGTCACAGGAGTGGAGAGGCGGTAGCTACGCCAGTTGCCCAGTGTGTCGGGCATGACTACCGGCAAATCGAGGCCGCCAAGTTGGCCAGTGAGTCGGGTGTGACCACCGGATAGCCGAGGCAGTCATGCCTGGCGCAGCGAAGTGCCGATGCCTCAGAAGACCGAGCGCTGGCGACGAAGTGTGCTGTTTGTAGACTGCTTGAAGACTGCTGTGGAACTGACGACTGATGCTGTCAGGTTGGAGCTGCTCCTTTTTATACCCAGCTCGGTAGGCAGAGCGAAACTTGCATTTGGGGAGCAACAATTTGCAGAGCGCTGATTGGCTAGCGAAAATGAGGAGCAGAAATTTGCAGTGCGTGCTTGTGTAAATATGAATGAAACGTCCGGCAATGCGATATTCGCTAAGGAGTGAGTGTTGTCTAAAAGACCAGTGGACACAGCGTGCTATGTGGGATGTCCCCACAAATCAAACCACAAAAAAGTGGATTTTGTTCAAGTTAAAACTGATTAAATTACAACCTATAAAAGCTTACACAACACAACCATAACATATACATTTCACAAGATTTCAATATTAAAATATACTAAAAGTTAAATTAATGAAAACAAATATAAAATATCTTAATTATATATATCTTTTTCATTCATTCATTTGCATGTTGATAATATTCATTCATAGAATACAAGGAATGATGATACAAAAACCTCTTTAATGCTGATTTAAAACTTTTTCATCATTAAGTAACATTTTTATTGACTGAGGGAGACAATTAAATACTTTTATACCTGTTATATAGGGTCCCTTTTTGTATTTTGTCACATCCACGGCAGGCATGTGTATATCTTTGTGAACTCTAGTTTTGTAGTCATGTATCTTGCCATTAATAAAAAGCAAGTTTTTATTATTCATTATAAATAAAAGTAATGAATATATATACTGTGAGTATAGTGTGATTATTGCCATCATCTTAAAAATCTTCCTGCATGACTCTAGGTTTAGTGTTGGTTATGATTCTAACAGTTCTTTTCTGCATTATGAATACTTTATGTA